AATACTATGATTAAAAAGACAAACCAAACCAAAACAAACTAGGGACAGGTACTGCAGGACGGGATATAGAGGCCTTTCTGTCTCAAAGAGCCACATTGCCCGGTTATGGAGGGCTCTTCTGCTTAATAAAGCATTGGTTATGATTAGCTAGCGTGGTGTCTACTGAGCCAATGTTTCTAGAAGAAGGAAAAAAGACAGGGAAAAGGCAGATGGTCTTTGCTCTTGTTACATTTTATTGGCATCACGTTCATCTCTTTACAGAAGAACTCGGCCCACACCCTAGAATGCAGACCTTTGGGAAAAACGGAAGTGCTTCGTTAAGCAAGCTACAATGCAGGGGCAGATCCTAGGGAGGGTGCAAAACTGCCAGGGTTCCATACCAAAGAAACAGGTTAAGCAATAACGGGCAATATTGGGGAGTTGGTGGGGAAAAGGAGAAAAAGGTTTGCTAACCTAAGGATGCCACAACCCTGAAAGGAGTGCCTTCTAGAACAAAGGTAAAATCACTAGGACAGATCTGTTAGGATTTTCCTTTTCCTTGTATAAGCAGGATGCTGATCTAATGGGAAGTTTCAAAGTGTGGAGCAGGGGGGAAAAAAAAGAGTAAGAATTTTAACAACAGTCATTTATCCACTGCACACACCACTGTATTATGCAAATCAACCTTTTGGAAAATTTAGATACAGAAGGGAACTAGATAGTTTTCCCCCTGGAGAGATGAAAAGCTTTTTGGCTCTTAAGTCTTTGATAAAAGGCGTACATAATTCTTGTGCCTACTGTACAGAATACTGCCTCTAGCTGGATTTCTGAATTCTGAGTTGCTAACTATCTGCAATCTAGACAGGGTTCAACCCTCCATCTTACATGCCTGCATTACAGGACTTAAACACATAATCCAAGAATTTCTTACACTAATTTATATATTTTTAATCGGTTGCATATATTAACATGTACTATAAGATTCTTTTCTAAGAAGCATTACATAATAAATGGATACTGTAAAAAGATCTGATTAGTTAAAAGTAACAAGCATTAACAGATACA